GTGCACCAGTTTTTTTGTAGCTCTCATTCTTTTTTTTTTTCTATATGGTTTGCATGTAAAACTATTGGCAAATGCAAACGATAGTGTTTGAAAATGAAGCGCAGCTGCAGCCTAAACATAACACAGGAGATGCTGAATGGCAATATCTACCTGAATCAGGAAACGATGCAGAATCGACATGTAATTTATGCTTGTACTGAATAATTATACTATTGCACCAGAGTACGCTTGTTTTCAGCAGATATGTTTATATCCTTTCACTTCTGTACACAGCACATCCATTTTAGCACATTCATATCTGTATAATTCAGCACACTAATTATATTAAGTACATAAATGAGGAAGTTCTATAAGAAGAACCTGCAAAGGGCTCTAGGAAGGGGCCCCAGATTTTTTCAGACTTTGTTTTATTATAACAAAATAGTTTCTTTTCAGGTTTGCAGTAAGATACAATACAAGCTCTTTGATCCAGTGTCTGGATCAAAGATTGTGAATTTTCAGATTTCCGGTTAACCAGGATACATTTCTTCACTGCAGAGTTGTAATATACATTATTGGGCCTGTGTCCCAGAGAATGCATAGTGTTCAGTTTTCACTCCTGTCACCCTTGAAGTTATCAGAATGACACACAAACCTTTGTTTTTAATTAAAAAAGGTCAGAAAATAGATTCTGTAGTCATTTGATTCCCATTGAAGACTGGTTCAGTATTCAGCTTAGAACTGCCTTGATATGCAGACTAACAGTATGTCAGACATGCAATTCCAACAGTCGCAGTTAACTAAGATGCTTCTGCGATTAATCACTATTTAAAAAATGAATCGTTTGACAGCCCTACCAATAAAGTAACTTGCAGACAAATTCATAGTTGTATTTTGTTGTGAGAGTATTCATCTTTGTTTTTGTTTGTTTAGTGTTCTGACCAAAATAATAAAGACGGGCTACTCGGCACTACAGCTGGAGTACTTCTTCACAGCCGGGCCAGATGAGGTCCGAGCTTGGACCATCAGGGTGAGTGCTACGATTCTCATATTTACAGACCTATTTGGAAATATCCTAGTGTCCTCATTTTCTTGTTCTCCCAATGTTCAACTTCTCCCGATTCATTTTTCTCCATCTTTCCTTGTGTCCCTTCTCCTTTTATTTCTCTAATTCCTTCTTCTGACTTTTTCCTTATCTCCTATCTAACTTTAATTCATTCCTTTCCCCCAGATTTTGGTAGCATACAGCCTACATTCTCTAATATGTACTATAAGTGTGGTGAACTCTGGTATTGTGTGTGTCGAAATGAAAGTTAAGTTAGAATTTAGAGTTGCTAATCTGGGTAGGTTTGAGGTTTTTAAATATGTCAGAACCCCAAGTTAATTTGAGATTTCCTGTTGCTGTTTTACTCCCAACAGAAAGGAGCCAAAGCTCCTCAAGCTGCAGGGAAAATCCACACGGACTTTGAGAAAGGCTTCATCATGGCGGAGGTGATGAAGTACAGTGACTTCAAAGAGGAGGGCAGCGAGAGTGCAGCTAAGGCAAGTATAGCTGCAACACGGGATATATATATATATATATATATATATTTTATTTTTTTTCCATTCATGGCCACTGTGTTACTCAAAACATTCTCTCTTGATTTCATCTATTTTTTTCTCAGGCTGCTGGAAAATACAGACAACAGGGCAGAAACTATGTTGTGGAGGATGGTGACATTATCTTTTTCAAATTCAACACACCAAACGCTCCCAAAAAGAAATAAAGGGACCAGATCACCGTCAGAGGAGTGTCTCAATTGGGCTTCAGAGATCTGCACCGTCAGCTGGTTTTTAAAGTTTTTCTTTAAGACCTAAAATCAAACATTGTGCGAAATTATACCATTTAGTATAATCCCAAAAAAGGCATGTATTTACATCTTAAGCTAATCACTTGTTTGGATAATCTTCATCCAGCCTAGAAAGAGTTCAGCTATTTTTTTTTTTCTTTTTTTTTTCATGATGGGAAGTGGTGACTAAACCTAAATGCACCAGAAAGCAACTTAGCATTTCCCTTGTAATGATGCTGACATTTTAACATACAGAAGTCTTTTATTAAAATATATATTCAGTTTTATGTCATTATAATTGACCATTTAAATTCCAAAGGTTTGGTAACTTTACTGCTTTCAGTTAAACTTCAAGTTCAGCAGCATTCCTGTGGTTCATTAGACAACAAACAAGACTTCTTCCCTTAATAACTCCTTTGTTATCATTGAGAAAGGATTTTTATGGCATAGTTTTCTCCTGAAAACAAACAAACCTCTTTATTTATGTATAAAAGGAAAGTGAAAGCCATCATCCGGTGCAGAACGGAGCTGGGAAACGGAGGGATGTGAAGAGACAACTGATGATGCCTGATCAAATGATGAATTCTTGCTACAGTTTTTGGCTTTTACTGACTCGCTGTGGCCTGGGTATAAAATAATAAAAACACTTCACCATGTATCCTTTGACAGAGCGTCACGCATCTGCTGGACTGAGTAGCACCTGGTTTATCCTTGTACCACATTGTCTTCAACCCCTCATTAGACATTGTGTCCTAAAGGAGAAATATTTAAATGGAAGTTGCATTTACATAAGAAATGTTGCCCCCATAAGTATTGTCAGTAAAATAAAGTAAAAAAATCTGTTTTTGTTTTTGTTTTTTTCCCACACGGTAAAAAATCTAAATAATGAATGTGAGTGAAACTCATATTAGTATATCTGTATTAACGCTGCATAGCCTCATCACCAAAGTTGCCACCAAGCTTTAATACATTCTGTTCCTGTGGATTAAAATCATTTTATTGATGACCTGCTGGAGTGGCCATGATTTTCCTCATGCCTGTCCCCTCCCCCACCTCTTTCTGCTAAATACCAATCTGCAGGGTAAAGGATAACAGCTTTTATTTTTTAACTTGGATCTTTTTGTTGGTAAATCCTTGGTACAAAGCCAGCTTCGCAAATCTATCTCAATTGAGCCAATTTTGATCAGATTTTAAATAATGCAATAAAAAGATTCTTATTACAACATAATTCCTGTTAGGTTGTTTGGAATATTTTAACATTTTTGTTTTGAAAAATGTTTGAGGCAAAACGTATTTGCTATAAGGGTAAGTATACAAGTTTAATTTTGGCTTGGAGACAAATGATGTGGCAAAACCCCTGTATACATTTGTGGTAAACAAATTGGCAAAGTTGATGTATCTGGCTTATTTTCCAGCCTAAAGGGTTGAAATCTGGTAAATTTTCAATGTTTGGGAGTGAAATCAGTGATAAAGTAGCTGACTAAAGATTAATAATGTCTTACCACACATTAAAAATCAGTTTCCTTATTGTTTTCCATGAATTTTAAAGTTTTAGAAATAAGATTAAAAGAAATACAACTCTTCCTGATTAAATTTTCTCCATACTACCTTGTATCCCTTCTCCTGTTATTTATCTCTTTTAATTCCTTTTTCTGACTTTTTTTTTGTCTTTCTACTTTTTCCTTATCTCCTATCTCACTTTGAATCATTCCTTTCACCCAGATTGTGGTGGCATACAGCCTACATCCTTTAATGTGTACTATATGTTTTCTTTAATCATATGAGAACTGTCAAATATCTCATCGGCAGTATGAACTCTGAGCTGGACTTTGGGTTCTTTCTGCATTGAGCTTGCTTGTTCTCCCCATGCATGCAAACCTGGTTACTTCCTTCCTCTCAACTTCCAAAAATATGAATGTTGGACCGATCTAACAGTATTATAAGTACATATATGGTTGGATGTCTGCCCTGATAAACTAGGGACCTGTCCAGGACCTACCCCACATAGCCTGATGGAGATGGGCACTAGACCCCCCTTTGTTACCCAGATGGACAGAAGATGAATGAATGAAATCTAAACGATGTGCATATGAAATGAAGGACAAAACTGTTTATATATATTTGGGTATAATGGCAAAAAACAAGTATGATGTAAGAGCAAATCGTACATAAAAAAAGAAAAATGTAAAGGATGAGCTGTATAGTAGAAAAATTATTCAACTTTATTGATCTCACACTGGAGAAATGTACTTCTGCATTTAACCCATCCCCTTGGGGAGCAGTGTGGGGTTAAGGGTCTTGTTCAGGGACCCAGAGTGCACATTTAATAGCTAAAAGTACTATGAAGTTATAAGAAAGATGAAATCCTATTGTAAAATAATAATAAAAAAAGATCTAGTTTGGATTCACAGTCCTGCTTTTTCTGGTTTTATGACAGGGTTAAGGAAAACATACAAAGGTTTACCTACTCTATCCATATGTCATTTGTTAAATGACATTTGACATTCAATCTGGATTTTTTTAGGGGGAAAAAATGATTATTTTCTGATAGATTTATTCAAGGCTGAATTTGTTTAAAACTTTAAACAAAATACTATCAGTGAAGTTTGTTTCAAAATTTATAGTGGAAGCGCAATACTATACATGAAAAAGGGGGGAAACATTTTTTATTCAACCTGAAGTGCTTTAACAGTGAATTTATAAAGTAACGATTTCATCAACTACATTCCGCTCGACAAAACAGGAAACATCCATGCTACAAAAAACTGGATTAGCATCCTTCTCAGCCAATCAGCTTTCTCGACATTCCTGCCTGGCCAATCACGTTCCCCGACATTCCTGCGGAGCCTATCACATCAAGGAAGAAGGGCGGGCCCTCTTGTAATGTGATCGACGTCGAGCTTTCCCGCACCGTCAATCAAAAATAGAAAAAAATCGACCCGATTTCAACGATCAACACTAGCCCGCCTTTGATAAAATAATCATGTTAGGAGTTTGATTGGTCTGGTAATCCTCTATATTTACGCTATGACTAAAACGTAAACGTCTAGCGCATCGAATCGGCAGCTAATCGGTGAGTTTGTGAGAGCAGCAGCGAAGAGAGCTGCGTCTTTTTGTCGTTAGCTCCTACGCTAACAAGCTGGATATGGTTAGCTAACCTAGCTTGCTGGCTACCTCTCGGAGTTGACAAAGTAAAAAACTGTCGTTCTGGGCCCGAATGCTGCTGGGATCTATGCCGCAGAATTGAATTTCACAGACGGCAGAGCGGAGAGTGGGGATGCTTTGCGGGATTTTCTGGCAGGCAGGAGTTGAAGATTGCAGACTTTTTCTCGGTTTCCCCCTCTCTCCCTGCTAGCGCCAGAGCGGTCTCTCAAACAAGGAGAAATGGCGTCCGCGGACGTGGACAGCAGTCAGAGCGAGTTCCTGCAAGCTGGCGGTGCGGCCGAAACACAGGTATCCAGCACATTTCCCACCTCCCTGCCGCTTTCCAATTCTGGTTGTGGTTTTTTAAGAGCTTGAAGTTCACACGTTTTAAATTTTTGATGGCATTGGGTGAAAGCCGTACACTTCCTGTGTTCCCCTCAATAACGGCCACCCACTTTCCCCCTTTAAAACCCGCCCATAGTGGGTAGGACGCTAAAGTCGGTTACTTCCAGATAGCCTGATGTACCTTAGGCTTCGGAGGATGCGTCCATAGCTAAATGTGTGTCTGGAGAAGTTGCTATAATCATAACAATATGGTTCAGTTGGCTTGCAACAGCCTCCCATCCCCCACCCTTTCCTGAGCCTCTCCTCGCCTGCCTCCTGACTCCGTTTACTTCCCATCAGTCAGATCTGCACGATCTTTCACTTTTTGCTTTAATCTATCTCTTTACATTGAACACTTTTCTATTATATAACTTAATCGAATGGTTATGGTTATTTCCTGCTGCTTTGATGTGATCCGAGGTGTCTTTTTGAGCTTGGTGTCCTGATTTGATTGGGAATTGTTTGCATTGCCTGGAACTGTTACATGTTTCTTTGACTGGTAACTATGTAAGTTAAGGCCTTACAGGGTCACTTGTTTTTTTTATTTTTTGTTTTTTTATTGGGGGGATCACTGGTTTTCAGCCACATCTCTCTACTTTGGCTCTGCCAGTATTGATCTGCTACAGTTTGTTTCCACTGTGTCTGTTTTAGTCCTTTACTTTGACTGGGCCATTTTAACACATGCATATGTTGATCCGTCCCTTTGATTGTCGGTTGATTAGTCCTTTTAGTCTTTTTGTATCCTAAACCATATCTTGCATTTAGCTCTGTTCATCTTCCCATTATCATCTATGGATGATCTATCCATAACTGATATCCTTCCACAAGTTTTCCTGCCCAGAGGCCCGTCCTCTATATGTTTGCTGTCTTTCCTACACATGAGAGCTTAGATGTCCTGATTGAATCGTGGCTAACTACAGACATGGACAGCCACTTACGCCTTTTGTTTTTTTCACCCTGTCCTTACATCGCTTGTGGCAGACTGGGCAAAGGGACTCTTCTAATGGCCATCTTCCAATAATGGCTTTCCATAAAGGTCTCATTTGTGGAGTGTGTAACTAATAGTCCTGGTTGCTGATTCTCCCTCCTGGGCTTTGGTTCTCATCAGTTCTTTCAGAGTTATCAGGTGCATCTTGGCTTTCTTTATGATTTACTTCTCTTTTTGTCAGAGGATGGCAGTAATGTGGTAGTTGGTGGTTTAAAGTTGTTCTCTGCTCTGCCCATTTTCCAGATCATTGATTGAACGATGCTTTGTCACACCTGCATCCTGTTTTTCTGTGTCTCTTGCTCTTGGTGATTGTTTTGTTTGTTTACTTCTTTCTCTTCCAACTTGCATCTGAGCTGTTCACAGATCTATTCCTGTTGAATCCAAAGATTTTATTTTATTTAGAGAAGGATTTCATGAAAATAAATAAGAAAACAGTGCAACTTTTTCAATTTCAGTTTATTAACTATGTTTGTTGTGAAGAAGTCTAAGAGCCATAAATGCTTTTTTATGTACATGTTCCCCTCTGCTAGATTACCAAATACAAAATCACCTCCTGTACTTCTGCTGATGACAAACAGCTTTATATTTCTGTGTTGCCTCATGACTGCCACCCAAAGCATCTATGGGATCAAACAACACTGAAGTGATTGTCTTTGGCCACAAAGTGCTTTCACTTTTTAGATTAGGTCTCAAATACATTTGCTGATATTTAAATGTTTGCTAATATGAGCGCTGCTTCTGCTCCCAGACAACAGACATGTCAGCTATTCAGTTGACGAGCTCAGACCGATGGGAGGTGCTGACCCCCGTCTCGGCTGCAAAGGAAGACCAAGGCGTCGTTCACATTCCAAACTCGGGGATTGTCACATCTAACGGGCAGTACGTTCTTCCAATCGGGAGTCTTCCCAGCCAGCCCATTTACGTCACAGCATCTGGGAGCGAAGCCACAGCTAACGGAGTGGCCGGCATTCAGTACCAGGTAATAAAAGTGGCAGGAAAGCGTCAGTAAAGTTTGCCCAAATAATTTTCGTGCTCACTGACGTCGCTTTGCTTTTATAGGTCATTCCCCAAATTCAAAATGCAGATGGGACACTCACAGGATTCCCAACACAAGGACTGGATGACGGCACGGGCCAGATTCAACTTCTCCAAGATGGCAACCAGGGCAATATTGGAATCAGCTGCTCCACAACAGCTGCTACAGACCTCCTCACGCAGGCGGGCCAGGTTCAGTCCATCCAGGGCGTCTCCTTGGCCGGAGGCTCGGCGTACGCCGGCACTGTCCCCGTAGGGCTTCCTGGCAACATCACCTTTGTCCCCATAAACAGCGTGGATCTGGAGTCCCTTGGGTTGACTGGGGCTCAGACAGTACCAATCGCCACCGGGGTAACGCCGGAGGGCCAGCTGATCATGAGCAGCCAGCCCCTGGAGAACCAGAGCCAGGATGGCAACAACAAACAGTCCCTGGTGACAGTGAGCGACAGCAACAACCAGGATATCTACGTGCCAACCACTTCCTCCTCTTCCTCCAACACCTCACAGCTCCCAGCAACCATCGATGGGACGGGGGTTCTCACTCAGGCCACAGCTGTGTCTGCGGGAGTGTCTGATCCATCCTCCACGGAAAACTACAACTCCCATAACCACCTACAGCAAATCCAGGTCAGTAAGCAGCAGACATAATCTAGCAAAAATCTAAACTTCTAGTCAAATCTGTCAGAATGACCGATCCCTGTAAATCAAACTGACGGATGATGTGACCTCAGTGTACAGCTGATCTATAAAGGTTTAGTTACTAATCAGCCACAAAAGCCATCATCCCTGTAGTGAAACATGGTGGTGGAAGCATCATGGTGTGGGGATGCTCTTCCTCAGCAGGTCATGGTTAATAGAGGGAGTACTGTCTGATGCAAAAACTCTTGGGTTGAATTCTTGGGGTGGTTCATTGTGATTCCGCTCCTCTTTGTGAAGGTGTCCTCCTCCAACGCCACCACCATCTCTCAGCCCATCCTGCAGCTGGCAGGTGACACTCAAGCCCAGGTGGCTCAGGGCCAGGACCTGACTGGAGGCGGTCAGACTCTGCAGAGTGTGCAGCTGGTGAACCCTGGTACCTTCCTGATCCAGGCTCAGACTGTCACCGCCACGGGGCAGATTCAGTGGCAGACCTTCCAGGTAGTGTTGTCCTGCTTCACGATGATCTGAGTTCTTTCACAATGTGAAACAATTTAAACGAGTTCTGTTCTTTTTTTCTTTTCCAGGTTCAAGGTGTCCAGTCGCTCCAGGGGCTCCAGATTCCCCAGGGACAGGGCCAGGGCCAGCAGTTGACGCTAGCACCCATCCAGACCCTCCCCTTGGGCCAGACTGGCCAGGTCAGCCTCCCTAACCTCCAGACAGTCACAGTGAACTCCGTAACACAAACTGGTGTCCAGTACACACAGGGAGAGGATGCAGGCAGTCCAGCTGGTAAAGCCACAGATTCCCAAACTTGAAATAGTTCCTTTTAGTCCCTCTCTGTCAGAGACTGTGACTCTTTCTCTGTGCATCCCGCCTCAGGCATCCAGATAAAAGAAGAGCCGGACTCTGAGGAGTGGCAGCTGAGCGGGGACTCCACACTGAACCCCAGCGACCTGAACAACCTCCGTGTCCAGATGGGAGACGAGGAGATGGAGGGAGCAGGCGCGGATGGCAAAAGGCTGCGCAGAGTGGCCTGTACTTGCCCCAACTGCAAGGAGTCTGGAGGGAGGTGGGCGTCTGATTCTCTAATATTTGTCTTTTCGGATTTTGTTCCAAAGTGTCCAAGAATCCTTCCATATAACCTTCCTTCCTCATCTACCTTATTTCATTTTTATCCCTTCTGTTCCCATTTTTCTTGTCTTAACCTATTCATGTGCGTCCTTCCTCTGCCTGTCATTTATTCTTTATTCCTCCCTACCTTGTTTTTTTTTTTTTTTCCTCTCCATCACTCCTTTACCTTTGTATCTTTCCTTTCTTTTATCTTTCCGTATATTTTCCCCTTTACGTTTACGGTTCTTTCAGTTGTGTTCCTTTTCCTATCAATCTCACGTAGCTTGTAATTCTTCTCTCTATATTACGTCGTCTTATTATTACCAGAACTCCCCATGATGATCTTTTACTGATTTCTTTTTGCGTCTGTCTGTCAGGGGCTCTGGCGTGGGCAAGAAGAAGCAGCACATCTGCCACATCGTCGGCTGCGGGAAAGTCTACGGGAAAACGTCCCACCTGAGAGCTCACCTGCGCTGGCACAGCGGAGAGAGGCCCTTTGTTTGCAACTGGATGTACTGTGGGAAGAGGTTCACCAGGAGCGACGAACTACAGAGACACAGGAGGACGCACACAGGCGAGTCCATCTTGGTTCCTCTGCAGGTTTTAGACTGCTGGGTTGGAGTTTGCAGATACCAGCCTTGGTTTTAGGGGTGTGTGATGCATCTAGGGATCTTTTCTGTAGGACTAGAGATTTCATGGGTTCCTAGCGTGGGGTCAGGTTTTAATAGTCATTGTTCATTAATTGAACATCTTAAAAACTGATGGAAAGGTGAGAAACATGAAAGAAAAGGATAAAAAGAAGTTTTCAGATGTCATTAGGATCAGTAAATAATAACAATGTATGCGATATTCAGCATTAAGGCTTGTTATTTCTGCTCCACAGTAAAGATTTTGGCGTTAATGTCCTTAAATTCTTCTGCCCTCTAGTGGTAGCAGCAGCACATTAAAATGTAGAAAGACGCTCATAAAGAAATGTTTTGCTAAAGAAATATTTGTGAGCGGGTTGAATGTTTAGACCTTTATAGTTTTGTATAAATATTCTTCTCTTTAATGTATATTTAAAAGTTGCAGATGTTTAAGTTGAGAATGAGGAGAAAGTATCAGCTCTTTAAAAGTCAAATCTAAAACATCAACTATTTCTTCGACTGTTAAAATAATTAGTTTCATTATAAGCTATTGCATAGATTTAGCATTTCGATTTATCTATATGAAATAAGCAGCCTTAAATCTATATTTGGTTATTTTGTGAATTTTTTTATTTTTAGTAGCTCTGTGCTTTAGATAAACATATTTAACGAGCCGTTTCATTTAAATTAGCTTTAAAACATTACCTGGGTTAAAGGGGGGCTTTTCTCAAGTTTCCAAGCTGCAGCTTAGCAAGTGGAGATATTTCCATACAGAGAAGGATAACAAACCTTTTATTAGGTGGCTGAGGTGTATTGCTACCTTACATAATGTTTTACTTTAAAGCATGCACGTAATGTAAGGAAACCCCAGGATTATTCCTAAACTAATGGTAGCTTGCTAAGACTTGGTGGTTTGCTTAATACTAAAAAACAAAAAACTGGTGATGGAGGTTCAGTTTGGCTGTTGATGCTTTTGTTTGGAAATTGCATACTATTGTCTTACCTGAATTCTGCAGTTTATGTAGGTTGATTACTGATATGAAGCTTTATTCTATAAACTGATTCCTCCTGTGTGTAGATATTTTTTTATATTTCATTTCATACAAAAGATGTCGGTAAATATTTAGTTTTACAGTATATAATAATATCTTCTGATTTTTCTGGAAGTAATTTTAGAACGGATCGTTAAATACATTGAAATATGAATTGAATTTTATAAAAGTGTATTTTTAATATAAAATGTATGAAAGGCTTAAACTGTAATTAAGAAATGCATGAAGTAGTGTAAGTTATGTGAATACAAAATGTTGAGCAAACTGGGAGAATTAAACTCTGTAAACTGAGGTAACCTGACAAAAGGTGTGCATGGTCGCCCTGCAGGAGAGAAGAAGTTTGTGTGCTCGGAGTGCTCCAAGAGGTTCATGCGCAGCGACCACCTGGCCAAGCACATAAAGACTCATCAAAACAAAAAGGGCGCCGTGCCCACCTCCACGTCTCCGCCCACTGACACCGTCATCACCACGGACGGAACCACGCTCATCCTCCAGACCGCCTCCGCCCACGACCTCGTAGGCAATCAGGAGATCCCTCTGCAGCTGGTTACCGTGGCGCCCAGTGAGGTCCTGGAGTGAGCGATGGGGAGGGTGGGGTTTCTGACAACAGGCCAATTACAGGGACCTTTTGAGCTTCTCTTCCCCTCCAATTTTTTTTTTTAAACATATGAATATATACATAAATATATATGACAAATATATATATTTTAAGTGAAATTTATCGACGTTATGTTTGTTTTTTGCAGTCTTTTTATAGGGGGGCAAAACATTAAATGTGGTTGCTATGTACACATGTAAACACATGACACCAATCATGAATTAACACTCAAGAACACAACGTGAAATGCCTTACTTTGTATGATACTCTTGTATAAATGCTGGAAGTGCATGCAAATGATGTGACGATAATGGATTTTAATGATTGAGGAGGAAGTCCTGAACCTTCATCTCTCTGAGATGATCAAGGAGTTTTCGTTATTTTAATTCTCCTTGAGGCAGGAGGGGTGCGAGTGAAACCCAGCGCTCCGTTTGGAAGCAGGTATAACACGTCGAGCTGCTGCCGGGACTGGATGCCTGCTTTTAAAAGAAAAGTTTAACTTTTGTTTTGTTTTTTTTTGCTTAACATTTATACTGGAAACTACCTGATGTGTGTTCAGGAGCAGTGGAGCTTTAGGAGTCCTCCATGCTTACTTATTTCAGTTCCCAGTGTTTATGTTAAACATCACCTCAGTCACATGTAATATAAGTTGGTTGCTACACGTTTTATTTGCACGCAGCAGTCGTCTCCCAACAGCGTGGCGGCGCAGACGGTCAGAGCGGGCAGCTGTCGTTTAAAGATCTGGAAGACAAAGCCAGTGTCTGGTGAGCTGGAGCTAAACGTCCCGCCCGTCACTGCCAAAGCACGCCGTCGTTCCTCTGTGCTTTTTCACGTACTGCAGAGAAGAAACGCCTGTTTTTTTTTGTTTTTTTTTCTCTTCTGTTGTAAATCGATCTTGTATTTCAGTCTCTTTACTAATCCAGGTGACGACGATCAGACGGCGAAGGAGAACGTATGCGAATGTTACCATGCGAGGAAATGAGCAGATTGTCATCCGACGCTACGATAACATCCTGTGAAACGGCTGTTGCAATAACTGCTCTGATGTCGTTTGAAAGAGAAACAATCATGCCATTTGACTTTTATTATTTTTTATTTAATGTAATCCTCTGTCTTCATGTCTGTAGCATTCTTTTACATGTATATTCTTCTTTTCACCTTGTTATAGAAGCCATTACTTAGTTAGATAAATTTGTTGTATCAAAACCTTTTAAGTAATTTTTTAAACAAGAATTGGTGTAAAAATTGAATGTTACCTTTTGTAAAACCTTTTTTCAAATGGATCACAATAAAAGTCAGAAAGCTTCCAGTTTTTTGGGGGGGAGTTTGTGTTTAACAGTTTGGATCAGGTGAGACGGCATAAAAATAAATCCTGAAGGATTTAAGGGGGGAAAAAGTTGAAACAGAAAGATGAACACTTTCAGAGAAATTAATCTCTGGGTTCTTAGAATCATAGATAATTATTTTAGATGCAGAAATGATTTTTCCAACCATCCTATCTGAATATCCCGTCTATAAAAAAAGTGGCGTTTTTCCCTGAAAATGGTTTGCACTGTTATAATCAAGCCTTCCGGTTTTCTTTTAATGTGAACAATCAGCTTTTTTATCTATTTTTTTTAGAATTAAATTCCCTTCATGGTTTGGTTGAATGAACCCATAACCATCATCCCTGAAGCTTCTTACTCTCCTTTAAATCTGAGGAAAAACAAAGATTCAATAAAGTCCTGAAATCAGTGCAAACTACATCTGACAGCCCATACAGAAAAAAAACAAGCATGTGCGTCACAAAGTCCATTCCTGTCATGTGTACCACATATACATAATAAAAAAACAGCGAAAACACCCAAACCGTTTGGAGCGGTTAGGTTCTGGCGTGTGGTCAGTGTATCGTGATTTTTCATTCTCTTAACAGTCCTCGGTTTGTTGTGGATCTTCACAGCTCTGAGTGAACATCTGAGGACAGAACCAGAGGATGGTCAGAACGGAAGCTGTTGATGTTTGGATGCGGTGCTCGGGTGGTTCTGTACCTGTGTCCTGCGTCTTGGCTGGGCCCTTTGCTCCCTTCTGGACTCTTGTCTGCAGGCGTTTTATCTCCTGGTCGTAGTCCGTCCACTCTGATACGATCCTCACTGCTGCCTGCAGCTTGGGCTCTTTGGTCATTGGATTGTTACACTGAAAGGGAAACAAATTGGAATGAGAAAAAAAAAGATTTTCCTTCAAATGATGACATCCAATTTTTTGTTTTGTTTTTTTATAAATCAATTATTTACAATGAAATGATAAAATATCCAGTCATAGATAATATTTGAATTAAAATTATTTTACTTTACTGTATTACTTTAAAGTTACTACAATTGTAGCTAACAGTAGTTCATATAATTGTAATTTGGTTACTGGCTAATCACTGCAGCCTTAATTTACATTTCTATAATTTCCTGCAGTTGTATAAAATATTTTTCACAAGTTATGGTATTAGAAGGCAGTTTAATTAAGTTAAACCAGCAATTACTCTTTTTAATGTTTATGCAACCCTAACTAATGTGTGTAGTAAACAATTGTTTATCTTCTATATACAGATAGTGTGGCACAAAATGAATCTTTACCCTAAAAGATTTAAAGTTGACTTAATTTTAAAAATGTTTCTTTTGACAAGAGGTGATGACAATTACGGTGATGGTTGGAGGTCCTTCCAGCTTAAAGACCTTCAAATTAATGAAGATAAATCTTTAAATGATCAGCGTAGGGCTTAAAATCGCAAAATTTTTTGTCTAATTTTGGTCGATTTTTGTGAAAAAAAAAATGTTAAAACCTCAGGAAAGTTAAAAAAGGAACCTAAACAAACTTCTGAATGTAATTATTCTGAGTCTATGAAACTTGATGTAACATTGCGCTTTTCTTAAAAAAGAAAAGCATCAAAATAACAATTAGCTTTAAAAATACAAGCCCTGACAACACGGCTGATGTTTAAACGTTTATCAGCCTGGATCGCCTCAGTCAAATCAAAATGAATCAATTCAAACATCTCATAATGTCACAGGACAGTTTACTGTGGATGGTGACTAGCTCACGCTCTCCTCATATTTAAAGCTGCATTCAACTTTTCTTCATCAATCTGTTGCACTGTTTTCTACACGTCCTGCTTGCTATAATCTTTTACAGACGCCAACATCAGACAGACAGACTAAAGCTTTTGTTTGGTACAGGTCACTCAAAACAAAGACATTTGGTCACCTTATCCTTGGTGCTCATTCTGTAGCTAAAATGGTGTTGAAGCACCAGCAGCACAGCCTACAGCTGCAGAGCACAGCTCTCCGTCTGCCTTCATCCCCGTGCTGAGGCTTTCTCTGTGAGAATATGTCTCTTATCCTGGATCCAGAACTAGATTACTGATTAAAATTAGACTGTGATATATACTGATATTGAAGCCCTAGAATTACTTTATTTCGAATTGTAAATAAAACATCTAAATATTTTTTTTTTCCAACCCAAAATTATTTTCCATTATATTTTCGGTCCCCGTTTCATTTTCCATCATAAACCTCTTGGCTGGAATAAAATAATCTTGACTAAAAGTTCCCTAAATAGGAATAATTCAAGAAAATCCAATTCATCTTCCATTTGTTTTACTGTTCTTAGTTACGCATCAGTAAATTGATGGGGAATCATTTACTGACTGTATTTTCTATTCAGCTCCCCTAAGCGCCCTCTAGTGGCAGTTGCTGACATATTCCTGGGAATGTGTGTTACCAAATCTATGGTCTTCGCGGTCTTTTTGGAGCTGTCGTCACACCAGGTCTCACACCACAGCCACTCCTGAGGCAAAGACTTGATGGGAACCTGGTGGATCATGTTGTTTGGAAGATCCTGAAAAAACAAACACAAAAACCAGGAAGGTCATATTAAGGCGCCTCCGGCAAACGTTTGAACTCTAAGATAAAAGCTTGTGTAGGTGTAGAACTGCGATATTGAGAGGAGGAGAGAAGATGTTGCTCAGAGACCTGGTCCAGGTTGGACAGACTGTTGGGGTCCTGGCTCAGTCCCTGGTACTGTCCTCTGAGGCGGTCTCCTGCAGCGATCTTCCTGAACTTCTTCAGGTCGACGACATACAGTGCACTGCAGACCATGCATCACATCAACAAAGGAACATTGAATAGAAATCTTTACAGGCTTAGAAAATGATTTATCTTTTAATTTCTAATTAAAGGAATAAAGTAATCCTCATTCTGCTGGTAAATAAAAGGATTCTGCTTTTCTTAAAGGTATAGAGGAGGATGTTCTTATCTGGGTGGATCATCGAAATAAATGGTCCTCCTAATTGTCAATCCTTCTGGTGATATGTTTACGTAAGGCCGTCCTACGTGCTCATCCCCATTTTCACTTACCGGTGGTGAGTCTGACATGGCGGAAAAATGGCAAATCTGGGTTTGGAAAGTAAGCTTGTATGAGCAATGCAAAGAGCAACTTTTAAACAGAGGAGAAATGGGCTCCTGCATGGTCTCGCATGTGTTTAATAGGTTTTCCCTCTCTTGAGTGGGTACACGGTTGTGCATGTGAATTATTTTTTTTAAAGTGGAGAGGGCGGGTCTTTTTAAATATTTAATATATTTAAATATATCAAATCCTCCACTCTACCTTTAAGGCGACAAAAAAAGATGAAAAAAAAAGGCAGTGATTGCGGAGCTGAACAGGCACCTGATGTGGTACTTGCGTCCAGCCAGGTGGCTCGCCCAGTAGCCGGACTTCCAGAAGCGATAGCCGTCCATCTCCCTGCGGCTGTCGCAGAACGGCGTGTAGCCGTAAGGAGCTCCCTCCAGGTTAAAGTCGCGCAGCTCCTTCAGGTCGGTTCGTACAATCTGATGAAAACAGGTTGAGTTTATGGAGTGGTGAATATGAATCAGGTTACAAATTAGCCTGTTTCTTATTCTTTTTCTAGTTTGCTTGGCCCTCAGCTGGAGAACAGGCTGCAGATTTGGACAGAAGCAGAATCAGTTACAGCGTTTGTGCAGCAAACCTGGTCTGCGTCCACAAACAGGATCTTATCCACAGCTAGAGGAAACAGAACGTCCAGGAAGAGGATCTTGTATCCCCAGATGATCCTCTGCTTCTCGGTCTGCTGGTGCAACCAGCGGGGCCACTTGTACTGGACCAGCTCGTACTGGAAGCCATACTGCTTCGCCATGTGGGGAATGAAGTCCTGCAAAGTGAAGCACATCCAGCAAGATGACGCAAACAGCCGAAGAAATTAAACATGATAATTATCAATACCATGGAAACCAAAGTCAAGCTGCTATCCCTTCGATTTGATTTAAAAGATAAAGTAGTGAAATTCACCACAAATGTCCAGCATACATTTAAACCAAAAAAAAAAAAGTGGAAGGAAGGAAGGACACTTGGAAAAACGAAGTTAAAGAAGAGGTACAGAGACAGACATTAAAAAAGGAAACAACAGAAGGAAAGAAAATAAAGGAAAAACATGGGAAAGGAAGGGCAGAAGCAAGAGAGGCAAGAGGCGAGAAAAAAGTAAGGAAGTGCCGGAGGAAAGGTCAGATGGGTCAAAGAGAGGAAGGACAGAAGGAAGTCTGAAAAGGAAGGACAGAAGGTGAAAGAAGCTGAAAGAAGGAAATACGGAGCAAAGGATGTAGGACACTTGGATGGTGGAAAAGGAAAGAAACACAAAAACAACAAGGAAAAACATGAGGAAGAAAGACAGGAGGAAGGACATTCAAACGATGGGATGAGGAATAAAGTCTAAAAATACTTCAAACGTTCTAGTTTTCACTGAATTTTAGATCACATTTGTTGAAATCAGGGATGCACCATATAATCCGCTATTCTAGTTTTAAAAGCAAATGGAAAATAAAATTAGGACGGACACTCTTACCTTGAAGGTAGGGGACAGGTAGTTCTTCAGGAACCAGAACTTGACGGGGGTTTTTGTGTTCTTCAGGACTGACAGCATCATGATCCTGAGAGAGAAGAAGAAGAGACTGTGATCAGCTCCAGGATCAATGCTGCCTTTGAAACAAGAATTAAAAAGGTTTCAACTGATCGAGGACGTTTAGGTGCATTTAACCCCCACCTGAGGAACCTCTCGTACAGATGCCCTGATGCCACAGAGAAAATATTGATCACATCGTCTTTCTCTGGCTTCGGCTCCTCAGCTGTACCTCCTCCTGTAAAACCTCTGCCAGGACAAAAAAAAACCAATCTAGATCAGTTTTATTCATTAGACTAGAAGGCTAAAAAAAATAAAAATCTGAAAATTATACACAAAAATGTGTT